ACCCATAGGCGTGTGTGTGTGTGTGTGTGTGTGTGTGTGTGTGTGTGTGTGTGTATTCCTTCACCCTTAGACCCAGAGGCTCTCTGACTTATGGGTCTGTTCTGGACAGGGAGTCCCAGCCCCTCCGGAACTCGGCTGCTATCCAAGGCTTCTCTGGCAGCTGGGCTGCTTCAGCTTTCAGCTCAGATCTGCTGGGAGGGTCAGCAGGTCCACAGGCCCCCAGAAACAAGCCTGGAAATGCAGCACCCAGCCACGCTGCCCAGTACTATCATTATTATTACTGTTACCATCTAGTAAAGGATTTATATTGAAGTACTTAACAGAGAGCACACCATGTACTTATCTATCAGGTAAGTCTTGAAAAGGTGATATAAAGTGGTAGCTTAGTGCTCAGGCTTGAGATTCAGATAAATCTGAATAAAAATGCCAGCTTCTGAACTTAATAGTTCTGGAACTGCAGTTAACCTCTGACTTTGTTTTCTCATCTGTAAAATGGGGCTAATAACATTTATGCCTATAGGGCTCCCATGAGGATGACATGAAATGACATATGAAGGATTTAGTCAAGAGCCTGCCACTGTGGTTGGAGGAATGTGTAACACCTTTCCCAGCTACAGGTGTCAGAGCTGAAAGCGTCCCAGAATCTGACTCCCAGCACTCTGAGCAAAGTATCTGACCAGGTTACCTGTTGCAGAGCCCAAAAAACACAGTTTGTGGGCAAAATAGCACTTTGAAGCTTTTCCTTCATCCACTGACAGCCCCTCCACTCTAAGAACCCAAGCTTGTCCATCTCTGCACGTTGCCCCCGTGCAAAAGAGCCCACAGGCCTACGCTCACACAAACATGTACTCTGGGGCCCATATCACTCCCTCCTTGTCCAGGCAACCTGTGATTGTGTGTAATAGGACATGTCCAGGATGAGACACTTGCATGTTGTCTGGTAGGCCTGGCCTTGGAAATACAGCATCGGGTTGCCATGGTGACTGGTCGATATGCAAATTTCTACCCAGTAGGCGTTCTTGTGACTGGGTGGTGCCAGCCCCATCTTAGCTGAGTGACAGTGAACATGATGAGCGGGAGAGGGCTGCACCTAGCTGGAGGCCCCTCAGAATCCACCTTCCTACTTTCCAATGAGAGGGAGGCAGGACTGCTGTCTGGTGACTAGCCACGCCCTCAACAGCATCACCATTCACAAAGGCCACGCTGATCAACCTTAGTTAGCTGTGACTTTTTTCTCAAAGGGAAGACGAGTCAGAAGCCCCAGGAGCTGCTGCGACTACCACTTGATTCTCAAAAAGGTGAAACTCTTAAAGGACTTTGGGAGCCCTGGTTAGTTTTTCAGATGGCCTTTGTCTTCGGTACAGCAAGCAGAATAGCCAGGAATGCCCCAGCCTCCAGTCCTCCTTCTGCTACCTAATTTGCTATGTGACCTTCAGAAAGTGTCCTAGCACCACTGGACCCCAACTACCTCACTTAATGTAACAGCTTTATCCAAAAGTGAGGCCTAGACCAGCCCTATGAACCACAGTCCTCTTGAGTGCCCCCTAGTGTTGAAAACAAACCGAGCTGTTCATTTTCAGGGAAGCTCTCTGGAGCTGCCTGGAGGATCCCTGGGAACACAGAACGAATTTTCAGTGAGAGTTGCCCTGAGGACCTTTAGAGTTTATCAACTTCATTGTATCTGCTCAGTATGGCTGACAAGCCCTAGGAGGACCTGAGATAGGGGTAGACCTGGTTGTGCTTCTGGTGACTTTCTCCTTCCACAAGTGGTAAGGCCACAAAGAAACCAAAAATTCAATTGAACAGGAGGGCCTGTTCCTCAGGCTACTTTCAGTGAGAGCCATCTGTGTCCCTGGCTCACAGCTGCCCTCTTCTCCTGCCCTCTTCCAAAAGTAGAACCCTCTGGTGTCTCCATCAGAAGTGAAGAGATAGAGTAATCCACAGGACTTCCTGCCGGCTTCCTCCTGTCCTCTCCTTCCTCTGCAGGAGATAAGCACAGCAGAACACAATTTCCAGCTCTTCCTCTCACCTCCCTACTACCACCACCACCACCCCTGGATCTAGTTGAAGTTAATTGTACATATGAAGAGGCTACAGATTGGGCAAATCTGGCTGGCAACGCCTAAGCCTCAAGCATTCCTGGCCTGTTCACATTTTTCTCTGACTCTAGACAGGCACTTTTGACAAATGAGGAAGCAGGGACTAGGATATGTCCATATCCACACATCATATCAGGGATTAAACTGAGTCAAGGCTTGCAGATAGGTGCTGTTAGAATGATAGGTGATTTTTTTTTTTTTTAAATACTTGCAATTTCTAGGCTCCTGCCTGCCCCAGAAGTGGTAATTCTATTCATTTGAAACATTCGGAAGCACAGCCTGGTCTACAAACCTCTCAGAGATCCTATGGGGCCTGATCCCCACTTAACAGATGAAGAGACTGAGACCAAGATCGATTGGGTGTTGCCTAGGGACAGAGTGGGACAGTGGCAGAGCTCACAGTGGCTTTGGTGACCTGGATCTCTACCTCTCAGGGCCCTGAGAGCACACCTTTATAACATGGTTCCACTTCAGAGTATGACTGTCCACCACCTGAGGAACACAGGTGTTCTACAAGTGTCTCTTGTCCCAAGTGGCAGTTTGATTTTCCACATAGTGAAATCAGGCTCAGCCCTGTGGTGGCTTGGTCTCTGTAGGCTACTAGGAAATTGGGAATGTCAAATGAAGGTGCCTGCCTCCTCTCCCTGTCTCCTCCCTGTACCCCATGCCCTCATTCTGAACAGAGAAAATCCTGGTAAGAAAAGAGGCCCCAACATGGATGCTGGGGCATGGGACAGGCCCCTTTCAGTGAGCTGGGCCCTGGGCCAGTTGTTTCCAGGTGGGGCTTGAGAGTGCTGAAGGCCCTGGCACTGGAGTTGGAGGGGAAGATTGGGGGCTTCTAGGGTCCTCACCCAACTGCCCTTTCCTCCCTGAGAACATTTGCCAACTGACTCTTGCACCTCTGCCTCCCCACCAGGTACTAACTCCCACAGCTCATCTCTAAAGAACCTGCCCTGCCTGCTGAGTCTAACATTTCCTCTCCACCCCACTCAGGGGCTCTTGGGGACTGGGTCCCAGGGAAGGAGTTCAGGGGGCCTGGTGGGGACACCACTAACCTGCTTTCACCTCACAGGCTGGCTGCCAGTGTCTGAAGAGTCCTGACCAACATGTCTTTCTCTCTCCCTTCCTTCCCTTTGTCCCTCCCCCATGTCTCCCTCTCTCTCTCCTTCCACCCCTCCCCTCTCTGACCTTCCTCTGTTCTGCACTACCAGAGCACCTTGGATTTGAATTAAAGGGTACGACAGACACCTCTATGTATCACTCAGAGCCATCCTCAAAGCCTCTCTCCATAGCCCGACACCATGTGTGATAATGTCTTCTTTCCTTTCCAAAACAATGCAAAAGAAATGATTCCAGAACTCTCTCCTGGCCCCATCAAGATGCCCTATCCTTAACTCATGAAGGCATTCATGTGCCTCCATCTCAGAAGGGAAGGGACCCCTTCTGAGCTGTGTGCAGCCCAATGGGTTGGCCAGACAAGAGCCAGGAATGTTGCTAACACTAGAACCCATGTCTGGATGCCTCATAATCCTGGTGTGGAGAGTTGTGTAGAGAGGCATCCCTTTCAATTTGACTTCTACCCTCTTTCCTTTCACCATTCTCATTTCCATTGCTTTCATTCGGCACCAGGCTGGTGGCTGATGACCTCCTTGTCTGTCTGCCCTCTGCTTGTGTCTACCCAGCTTTGCCATCTGCTTGAGGCTGTCACTCACTCCATGATCAGTCCTCACAAAGGGACTCATATATATCTGTGGGCAAGATGGGCAAGGGCAGGGCTAAGCAGGGCTGGCCTTGGGTGCCTACTCTCCCACCCCCACCCTTCGATCCAACTCAGAACTTTACCTCCTTCTTCTGCTGCCCTCTAGCCCCTGGAAGATTCCTTGGGCTGGAAAAGACATTATGGGCTCAGTATTTCCAACTTTCTAGCTTTGTGTTGGGCAACTCCACCCTGGCTTCAAGTGTGTAGACATATTGCAGCAGGAGAATACAGGGGCTTCAAGGATCTGAGGCTTCTTTGAGGAGACATGCTGAGGAGCCTGCAGTGATGAAAAGGCTATTCTGTGGCAGGTTTGAGGAGACCCTAGTTCCTCCACCAACTAGTTAGCCCTATCAACTGTTCTCAGTAAAATATCTAGAGAACAAAAGCTACAAGTCATATATAAGAGTGTGTCTTTCTGCTGACTGGTAGGGTGGGTAGAAGAGTCTGTATGGTGTTCGTGATTGGGCCAGGCCATAGGTCTATGTGTGTATGCTGTGTGTAGCTCTCTGAAGTGGGGAGTGGAAGTGTACCTGTCTTATTAGGTCTCTCAGTGCAGGAGGGGAGGGTGCAGAGGAACATGGTAAAGCATCTTTGTGCCATTGGAACTGCGAGTGTGTGGAGGTGAGTCTGTGTACATGTAGGTGTGTGTCTGCGTCTGTAAGGATGGTCTGAATAGTCATCCACTCATCAACTCAACAAATAACTACTGAGCACCAGAAATCCCCAGACCCAGGCAGGCTACCGCTTATAGAGGCCCTGACATAAAGGAGCTCATGGAGTCTTTCTGCATAAGACAGGTAGCAAACCCAGAAGAAAAGTGTCAGGTGTGGCTAAGAGCTATACAGAAATAAGACAGGTTAGTAGAGCAATACCTGGCCAGGGTGGATAGCTACTTTAGCCAAGTGTTCAGGGAAGGCTTTTCTGATGAGGTGGTGTTGGGGCTGTGCTCTAATGAAAACTAGCCACCCCAAACAACTGGGGAAAGAATATTTGTGACAAGGACATAGCACATGGTTGGATTGAGCTTGCCTTGTTCGATGGCTGGCAAGCAGCAGTGAGTCTAGCACAGCAGGGAGAGGAGTACAAGCTCTGGGGTCAAGGGAAGTGGGGCCATGTCATCTGAAGCCTCAAAGATTGGATATGTCTTTGAGTTTGACTCTAGTTGCAATGGGAAGTCATTCATGAGTTTTTAAGCCAAGAAGTAAAATGATCTGCTTTATGGTGGTGAGTAGATTTGACTTTGAGGTAGACATTAGACTATGGTGTGGGAGGAAGGGCAGTGTGGCAGGCAGAGAGACCAGTTAGAAGTAATTTGCAGTCACCATCTTGGATTGGCATCATCTTAGATTAGTTGGAAGAGATCGAAATGGTAAGAAGTGGCCAGAGTCAGTATCTATTGGGAAGGTGGAACTGGAAGGACTTGCTGGTGGGTGGAGTATTATAAGGGTGTTGTAGTTAAGTGCCGTCCAGTCGGTTCCAACACATGGCGACCCTGAACAGGATTTCCGAGGCTGTAAATCTTTACGGGAGCAGAAAGCCTCATCTTTCTCCCACAGAACAGCTGGTAGTTTCGAACTGCTGACCTTGCGGTTCACAGCCCGATTCGAAACCACTATGCTACCAGAGCTCCTTATAAGGGTAGGTGGGAAGAAAGGAAGTAATGGAGAATGATTGCCGCCTGAGTAATAGGCAAGGCCATGCTCTCATCAATGAAATGGGAAGTGTAAGGGAGCAGATTTGGAGACAGACCGGGAAATCAGTGTTTGGCCACAACCCTTGACTGCATGAATCAGAAACTCAGGGAGAAGGAAGTCGGGGCAGGAGATATGAGAAGGCTTTAAAATCGTTCATGGAAACAGTCCATTGTCTTTTCATTCCATTTTTTCAGGGACTTTTGAAACCTCTTCATATATATTTGAGAGCACATACATGAAGGAGTCCTGGTGTGGCACTGTGAATTAACGCACTGGACTGCAAGGTGGGTTTGAACCACAAAATCAGTGGTTCAAGCTTACCAGCTGCTCGTCAGAAACCCTATATATACAGGGATGCTATGAGTCAGAACCAACTCAATGGCACTTAACAACAACAGGAAAGCACATAGATGTTATCAAACATCTGAATCTGGAGGAGACTCCCAAAGGAGTGAGGGCAGATTGAGTTGCCAAAGAGCCCCAAGTCCTACAATTTCCACACAGGTAGGACAAGAGGAGTTAAAGCACTTAGCTGCTATCCAAAAGGTTGGAGATCAGAGTCCACCCAGAAGGTGCCTAAAAAAAAAAGGCTTGATGATTTCCCCCCCAAAAAAATGCATCCATTGAAACCCCTATGGAGCACAGTTCTACTCTGACACACATAGGGTAGCCATGAATCCACAGTTGGTTAGAAGAGGAGGAAACGGTCAACAAAGATCAGAAAGTTGAAGGAATCATACATCCAGAATCCCCGGGGGTGGGGAAGGGGGTGGGTGGGACGAGGTCAGAATCAGGGAGTCAGCTGAGGAAAGGGCTCTGACCACTGCACTTGACATCATGGCCCAAACCAGAGCAGTCTCAGGAATGATGGAGACGGATACCTGGAGAGGACTGAGGAGTGAACGGGGAAAGTGAAGCTGGTGACCTGTGTTTATTTTAAGTCACCATGTGATTGTGTCAGTGAGCATGACGGTGTGTGTATGTGTGCCTGACACTGACTGCAGTTCTGTGTGTGCGTGTGCCGGTGCATACACTCTTCCGGACATGTACATCGTGTTTCTTTGTGGAGGGCTCTGTATAGCATAGGGATGTGTGTGTGGAGGCTTTGTACATTCATGTATACCTTTGCCCCAGGAGGTGCTACAAACCTTTTCTCAGGGTAGGAACATTTCTCTGGGCTCTGCCAAGGGATTGTGGTCCAGCCTCCACTTATCCCGGAGCTGGGGGATAAGGGGGCGGTGGATAGCCTGTACAGGAGGGAGAGTAGAGTCCCTGGGCTGTAGATCTTGACTGTGGCTGGTGCTGTCACCTTTTTCCTTACTCTTTCCCAGCTTTCTCTGTTCCAGTGGGTAGGGGTTGCCCAGCCAAGTAGTATAGGGTAGAGATAAACTAACCTTTTCAAAGTACTTTGAAGCCCAGCCTAGCTCAGCTCCCAGCTGTACCCAGGGCTGCTGTGGGTCCCTGCCCCTTCCCCACAGGTCTGGTCTGCTCTGTCTCCATTCCTGGTCCTTGCAGCTTCTATGCCTGATGTCCTGCCACCAGCCCAGAACAAACCTCTCTCACCTTCTGGGGAAGTTGAACCAAGTGTCTGAGTTGCCCAGGTTTTATATGTTAACTGCTGTTAGGAACAACTCCCGCCCTGTCACCAAAGTGGTTTCTAGACACCAGGCCATAGTGGAGTAGGGCAGGGTCTCTGGGCTGCTCCCACCCACCCCCACTCACCCTATGGCCTTGGAGACTTCTCCATCCTATCCTTTTCCATCCCCCTACATTGTCCACTCATGTTCTCTGGGAAGGGGAATCAAGGGTAGTTGTGTGTGACCAGATCCTTGGGTGGGTGAGAGTCGGGGGAGGTGTGGGGAGCAGAAAACAATCCAGGAGCGAGCATCGTGGTGTGGGGGACTGGTGGAGGTAGATGGATGGAGAGGAGCTGTCAGGCTTGGTGGGGTGGTGGGTAGGGGAGTCTCTGCATCACTGTCCCTATGAGGTCTACCTCCTGCCTACCCCTCACATCCCCTCTGCCTCTGCAGAAGCTGAGGAGCTGTACCAGAAGCGGGTCCTCACTATCACCGGCATTTGTGTGGCTCTGCTGGTCGTGGGCATCGTCTGCGTGGTAGCTTACTGCAAGACCAAGTGAGTGGCAAGAATGCAGGTCAAGTCAGGGGAGGGCCTTCAAGAACAGACTCTCCTCAGCCCTCCACACCTGAATGTGGGGCCAAAGGGCTAAGCCAAGAAGCAGTAGCAGAGGTGGGAGTGGGGAGAACAAAGAATGGTGAGGCTACAGGCTTTGGAGGAAGACAGATCTGGGTTCAAATCCAGCTCTGCCATTTCTGAGCAAATTGATAAAGGCTCAGTGTTCTCATCTGTAAAATGGGAATGATCCCAGTATGTCCTTCAGAGGACCTGAACAAGAGTGTGCAGCAGACCCAATAATCTCCCTACCGGGGTAGCGGAGAAGGAGGGTACAGAGAGGAGGGCTACATCCTTAGGAAAAGAAAGAGACTTCAAGACAAAGCTTGGACCCACTCTGGGATCAGTCTAGACAAGAGCATGTAGAAGGTAGGACTGGGCCACTCTAGACTGAGGAAAGATGGAGCCAGAACCTCAGGGCAAAGCAAATAAATAGACAAGAAAGGGTTGCTGGGCCATTCACTAGAATAGTGCAAGCTAAGAAACACACACAGACCAGTCAGCTATGTTCCCTTAATATAACTACCCAGACTAGTTGGAGTGAAAGGGTGGTCAGGGGAAAAAGGGGTTGTAAGTAAAAAGACAGCTGTGCCCTGGTGGTATCATTGGGCCTCAGGTGTCAAGCAAGGTAGTCAGCGTTTCTCCTGCAAGGGTGGGGAGCCAACAAAGATTGTAGAGTGGTGTAGTACAGGAAAATGATAGGTTTATCACATCCCTTCACATCTGGGGAGCAAGGATCTGAGCACAGCTGCCTCTGGGGAAACTAGGCCTCTGAGTCTGAACTCCGGCTTTCCCTGTCTGTGAAATCTAGGGCCCCTCCTTCCAGAACCAGAAAGGCCAAAAGGGGGTCAACAAAGGGAGTTGGGGTTAGAGAACCCAGAGAAGTGAAAAAATTAGGGGAAAAGCATGTCTTCCATTCCTCTGACCTCCACTGCTTTACTGATTTCTTCACCATTCATTCATTCAATGCCTGCTAGGCACCAGACACTGTACCAGGCATCTCAGTTGGCCCACTAATGTGGTCAGTGCCCCGAGTGAAAGGTCCTGTGTCATGGAGCACATTCAGGGATACCTAACCTTGGCTAGGAAGCAAGAAGGGTTTTCTTGAGGAAGCAGAATTTAGACTGTGTCCTGAGAGATGAGCAGAGGTTAGCAGATGAAGAGGAGGAAGGGTGTTCCAGGAAGATGGATTAGTGTGTGCAAACGCTCAGCAGCCAGACAGTAGGGCTCCATGGGATCAGAAACAACCTTCCAAGGATGCAGCAAGCTGGAGTGGAAGGACAGTGATAGGGCTGGAAAGAAAAACAAGATGCTGAGGACCAATGAAAAGCTTTTAATACCCTTGAACCATTTACAAAATTGTTGTAACACAAATTTATTGATCACTTACTATGTACAAATGCAAAGCAGCTCCACAAGTCATGACTGCCTGACCATAACACCCTCGTAATTTTCTCCATAGCACTTTAGTGAGAGTATCTTGTTCGTTTATTTGTTTACATGCTATCGTCTGTAACAGACACTGTTTTGGACACAGAGTATAGCGCAGAGAACAAGACAGCCAAGGGTCCCTGCACTCATGGGGCTTGCAGGCCAGTAGAGGAGACATAGTCAAAGCCAGCACTGTGCTAGGATATCTCTGTAGGATAAGCACTGGACTGTTAACCACAGGTCAGCGGTTCAAGCCCACCAGCTGCTCCGTAGGAAAAAGGCTTTCTGCTCCCCTAAAGTTTACAGTCTCTGATGTCCTGTTCATGGTTGCTGTAAGTCAGAACTGACTCAATGGCAATTAACAACAGCAGCAATTCTTGGCAGTCTTGAGTATCTCATTTTACATGTGAAGAAAGAAAAGCAGGGAGACCTTAAGTAACTTGCCGAGGGTTACACACCTAGAAAGTAGCGATGCTCTGCTTTCTCAGCAAAGCCAAAACTCAGTACCACTATGTTTGGGCCCTGCTGATTACAGGGTAGGGCTGATGGTGAGGGGGGCAAATGGTGATGGTCCTAGCAAAGGGCAGCTTACTCCTGGGTACAGTAGTAGCAATAAATGGCCACAGCAGTCCAGGGCAGAAGTCAGGGAGGCTAGGGACATTCAGACATTGTGTTGGAGGCTGGAGTGGGTTGCCAGGCTAACCCACCCTCCCCTACACAGAAAACAACGGAAGCAGATGCACAACCATCTCCGGCAGAACATGTGCCCAGCCCACCAGAACCGGAGCTTGGCCAACGGGCCCAGCCATCCACGACTGGACCCTGAAGAGATCCAGATGGCAGATGTGAGTAGCATTCCCAGACCCCCTCTGAGCCCTCATTGGACAGCCAGGCTTTTTGTGCCCCCTGCAAAAGTGGGTCAGGGCAGATGCCCACCTGCTCATGATCAGCCCTGCTTACCAGACACTACCTCTGCAGGGTAACTGGCCTTGCTTTGCCCACTTCCTCAAGGAAAAGTTTAATCTGCTGGGGCCATCACTGTCCCAACATCAAGTCACTTCTCATCCAGTGGACCCCTCCCAACCTTGTAGTCAGGGTCCCCCTTTCCCCATCCCTACCAGGAGATGCCCATGACTAACTCCCACCACCTTTCTGTTTCAGTATATCTCCAAGAATGTACCAGCCACAGATCATGTCATCCGGAGAGAAACTGAGACCACCTTCTCTGGGAGCCACTCCTGTTCTCCTTCTCACCACTGCTCTACCGCCACACCCACCTCCAGCCACAGGTGGGCACACACCAAGACCCCCACCATTTATGTTAATGGCTGTGTGCACACTCATACACACATGCCTGAGTACACACACACACACCCCAGCCAGCCAGGCTCTGTACCGAGATCCCCTAAATGGCCACAAGAAGGAAGGAGATGGGGCTTCAAACCAAACTCCACCAGTGAACGTTTCTCCAGACCTTCAGGGAGCCTTTCCTAAACTAGCCCAGGGGAATACCTGCATCACTAGCTCCCACCTTTCCATTTAGTTTTGGTTTGAACTCCCTTTATCTGGCATAAAGTGCCTCCTCATTCAAACATCCAGAGTATTTGATACTCGCTCCTGAGTCTACCCATGAGAATCATAGTCTACTTTAGCCTATCTCCAGAGTTGGGGGAGCCAGCCCACACAACCACAAAAGCAAGAAACAACTTGGCTAGCCCCATTCTCCCTGGGCAGTCTGTGGAATAGACAAGCCCACATATTGTCACGAGGGCAGGGCTCCCTGAGATAAGTGACTACAAACCATGGGGGTAGACATAGCCCAAAAAAGGGGCCCTGAGGTTGGAAAGGAAGAAGTCTCTGCATATTACAGTCCATCCCTCCATGGGACCCTAGCCCTTCTCCCAATATCAGGGTTAGGCATTTGTGATAACCACAAATCAGGCCCAGAGTGAAGAAGGGCAATGAACTAAGGGAGCCCGCAATGGAATGAGGAACCACGGAAGGGGTGGCCATGGGACCAGTCCTGCTGGGCTGCCCTGCTCCTTCCTAACCCCTTGCCTTGTCCCCACCTGGCTTCCCTAGACATGAGAGCCACACGTGGAGCTTGGAGCGTTCTGAGAGCCTAACTTCTGACTCCCAGTCGGGCATCATGTTGTCATCAGTGGGCACCAGCAAGTGCAACAGTCCAGCATGTGTGGAGGCCCGGGCGCGACGGGCAGCAGCCTACAGCCTAGAGGAGCAGCGCAGGGCAGCCATGCCACACTATCATGACTCCATAGACTCCCTACGGGATTCTCCACACAGCGAGAGGTCAGTCCTTACCCCATCACCAGTGCCCTTTCTTGGCCAGAGAGCTGGCACTGCTGACCCAGAACAAACACTTAGGGCACCTCAGCAATATTCCAGAAAGCCCCATCATATTTTTAAGTTAGACAGGTTAAATGTTAAGAGAGGTTAAATGATCTGCTCAGGGCCAGACTGGGTTACTGCTGGGCCAGTGTACGTGGTATAGAGTGATCATATAATTTAATTGTTCTACTGGAACACTTTAGAGTAGAAGAGAATGTTATTAATAATTGGACTAAAACAAAAGGACATATGGCCACCCTATCCTGGTGTCACCTAGAGGCCTCGTGTCTCAGCAGGAACAGAAAGATACGAAGATTATGCATCTGGGCAGCTGGGGGTGGCAAGGGAACTGATCACTTCAGGATGGCATAAACTAAGAATGCTTGCAGGTCCAACAGCATCAGCAAGACCCTAAGGTGCTGGCCAGGTTCCTGAGCAATGGATGCAGTGAGAACCGGGAAATGCCTCTTCTTCCCTGACTGTTAGCCAGAGGGGAGAACAATCACAGGGGACCTGCTCTCACCCTTACTCAGCCCTAGAATGACCCTCGGCAAGTAGAGTCTAAGAGTTGATGGGAGGAAAGTAGAGGAAGGTGGCAATACCAGGAACTCGGCCACAGAAGAAGGGGAGAAGCAGATGTTCTCAACTCGGCCTATGCCATGCCAGGCCCTGTACTGGGCAGGCCTGCTGGGGGATCCAGAGATGAGCCACTGGTTCCTGCTCATGAGGAACTCCCAGCCACAAACCTTAGCTAGTAGCTCACAGCTATCTATAGAAAAGTGCTTAGCACAGGATGTCACTTAGGAGCCTCGTCCAAGGGAGAGAAATCCAGTCTGAAGGTAGGCCCTGGTATGCAGCCAGGTTTTCCAAGACCAGCTCTGCCACCTCCTTGGACAGGTTAATCACCTCTGTACCTTTGTTTCCTCAGCTGTAGAACAGGGATAACTATCATGCATGACTGTCGCGAAGGTCACTTGAGAGAATGTATGTAAAATTAGCTTAGTACCTGGCATGGAGTTGGTGCTCACTAGGTGCATCTGTTGTTACCAGTAATAACCACAGCATTAAGACTCTCTAAAAATAAAAAAGACTTTCTATTTGGTAGGTGGGAGAGTAAGAGATAGAGAGATGAAAAGCATTCCAGGCAAGAACAGCTTTAAGGTGCTCATGAACTTGGCTGATGAGGTGATGCACCGGGAGCAGGGTAGGTGGTGGGAGTAGAGCTTGGCCAGATAGATGGACCAGGGTCTGGAGCTGTTGTGGGAATGTTTTCCTGAAGCCCAGTCATGACTTAAAAAGTTGCTCTGGGAACTACATAGAAAAGGGATTGAAGGAGAGAACCTGGAGTGGGACAATGACCAGAGTGAGGCAACAAGGTCCAGAATGAAGTAGAGTACCGGGGAAGATGGAGGGCATGGGGAGAACTTGATGGGTATTTGAATGTGCATGTGGGAGAGGAAAGAGCATAGGTGATTCAGAGAAAGTAATGGGGACTCTGGGCTCGTTCCAGAGAGCAGTAAGGTACCAGCTATGCAGTTTGGAAGATCATTCATGGAGGTGTGTGGTCTCTACCCTTAAGTGGACAGTGCTTGGGGAAGATGATGATGGTCTGGGGACAGAGGTTGGGGACATGGAAAAAGAAAAAAGACAGGTGTCCTGGTCCCAGCCTGCAAGCTCTTAACAAGAGCAAACGTGTGGAGGAACTGGGGATCTTTAGCCACAGGCAGATTCACCTCAGTGGGGTCTTGGTGACTGTCAGCCCTGGGCTGAGGACCTTCCCTAAGGCAGATTATGGCTTCAATATAAGAAGGAATCTTTCTCCCAGTTAAACTATCATGCTGTGGAATGAAGTGTCCCTGCAGGAACAGCAATGAGTCCAGGTCAGGTCAATGGGTTGGGACTACTAACTTCTAGAATTAGGCAGTATGAGGCCTGATTCCTACCTGACCTCGGTTCACATTCCACTTCTACCACTTCCTTACTATGTGATCCTTGAATAAGTCACTTAAATGTTCTGAGTCTTGATTCCCTTATATAATATGGAAGCAATGTAAGGATCTTCAGAATTACTGTATTTCATGAGGTTGTTAAGTGCCATCAAGTGGGTACCAACCCATAGCGACCCTGTATAGGGTTTCCCAGGAGCTGCTGGAGAGCATGAACCACCGACCTAGCAGTTCAAACCTTCTTTGCAGTCCAGCGCATTAACTCACAGCACCACACTAGGACTCCATTTCATGAGATTGTGCATATAAATTGCTCCAATCTAAGCATTGGTACCTATAACCATCCAACGGTCAGGTACTGAGCTAAAACATCCCACTGATAACATGTATGCAATCTTCACAACAACACTATGGAATGAGTACTTTGGTACAGTTAATAGATAAGGAAATTGAGGCTTGACGAGATTAAGGAAATGTATTAGCGCCATCATTCTTGCAGGTGGGATTCAGGGCAAGAACATTGCTTCAAGTTTTCTCCTCTCCCCTCAGGTACGTGTCGGCCCTGACCACACCTGCGCGCCTCTCTCCCGTGGATTTCCACTACTCGCTGGCTACGCAGGTGCCGACTTTCGAGATCACATCTCCCAACTCGGCGCATGCCGTGTCGCTGCCTCCTGCCGCGCCCATCAGCTACCGCCTGGCGGAGCAGCAGCCGCTACTGCGGCACCCGGCACCCCCAGGCCCCGGCTCCGGCCCCGGGCCCGGCGTGGACATGCAGCGCAGCTATGACAGCTACTATTACCCCGCAGCTGGGCCGGGGCCGCGGCGCGGGGCATGCGCGCTCGGCGGCAGCCTGGGCAGCCTGCCCGCCAGCCCGTTTCGTATCCCAGAGGACGACGAGTATGAGACTACGCAGGAGTGCGCGCCTCCGCCACCGCCGCGGCCGCGCGCTCGCGGC